TTATATATAAAAATAATTTAGGTCTGTGTATTCCAGTGGAAACAATGTTTAACACTCATTAAGAACCACCAAGTTTAGACAGGAATTGGTCCGATATGGAAAGGCATCTTGTAACCATGTTGACGATAAAAGGAATTCCAATGAATGTGGCCCTGCCATTTTGCAAGCTACAGTCACAGATTTAAGACTGGTAAGCACAGGACGTTTTACTTAAACTGACTTATAGAACCAGAAACCAAACTTCAGTTTATGTAAAGATGAGAAAATAGAACGGAAATTGTTACTGGTTTAAATTGACATACTACAAGTAGTATTTTTGCTACAGTGGTTTCGATATACTTGCAGTTCTAATCACCTTTTGAAATACAAAGCAACCCATTACACTGCAAGGGTTAACTGCTGGTTTTGGTCTTGGGAGAAAAATAAAGCTTTAGTCACCCGATCCTTGGAGCCAGCCGGCTGTGACAGCACTCCCTCTTCCTACGCTGCAGAAATGGAATGTGTCCTCACGTCTATAGTACAATATGGTTCACGGGACCTTAGACCGCTGTAGCGGTGGGGGAGAGACATTCCAGGGATCAGTCTAAGAGGATCAGGTAAGTATAACTTTCTTACTTTCCTCTCTAGACCAAAATGAGCACTTAATCCTTGTAGTGTGGGGGTATCCCTACTTTAAGAGTTTCGTAACCATTTTCCCCGTAGTTCTACATTGAATGAATGCAACAGTATTAGGCAAAAAAAATGATTAAAAACTGGGAGCTTGCTACAATGCAGTGGGGCACATTTATATAACTATTACATGCTGCAAACTGCAACCCTAATTCCACAAAGGTTGGGATGCTGTGTAGAATCTACATAAAAACAATGCAATGATTTGCCAGATTTTATTCACAATAGAACATAGAAAACATATCTGTTGTTTAAAATGAGAAAATGGACCATTTTAGGAAACAAATAAGATAATTGTGAAATTGATGGCAGCAACACATCTCAAAAAAGTTGGGACAGGGCAAAAAAACAAAAAAGCTGCCAAAGTAAGTGGGACTAACAAGGAAGAGCTGGAAAAACATTTTGCAACTAATTAGGTTAATTGGCAACAGGTCAGTAACATGATTGGGTATAAAAAGAGCATCTTAGAGAGTCAGTGGGGGTGATTTACTAACCTAAACACACACACACACACACACACACACACACACACACCAGGTGTGTGTGATTTTCACACAGCAAAACGTATTTATCAACCAAAAAGTCTCTAAAAGCATATTTCCACTAATGCCATATATGGAAAAATCATGCACATGATGCATATATAATGATGCATATATAATGCTGCTTAGACAAACATGGTTAGCTCATGCATTTACATTCCTGCATTCATCAACACAACATAGAGCTAATTTACCCAACATCACCTTGGAATTCCTTCAGGGCTTTGCACAACACACCTGCTGGGTGTGTACACATTACAAAGGTGTTTAGATTCCACCCATAGATCATGCTGGGAGGGAAAACACTGCAGAGGTGTATACACGTTCGTGGTGTGTTTATAAGGTTAGTAAATCAACCCCAGTGTCTCAGAAGTAAATATGGGCCGAGGTTCACCAAATCTGTGATAAACTGCGTCTAAAAATTGGCCAACAATTTCAGAATAAATGTCCCTCAATATAAAATTGCAAAGGCTTTAAATATATAATCATTTACAGTACACAATATCATGAAGATTAAGAATCTGGAGAAATCTCTGTGCGCAAGGGACAAGGCCAGAATGCAATATTGGATGCCCTCAGGCGGCACTGCATTAAAAACAGGCATGACCCTGTGATCACTGCATGGGCTCAGGAATACTTCCAAAAAAATCAATCACTGTCTGTGGACATAGCTCCCAGCGCCATGCAAAAATGCAAGATAAAGTGATATTAAAGTCAAAAGGATTTTAAGCTATTCTAAATGCTGATGAAAATCACTTACAATGGATACTGCTCCCTGATGTTTAAAAGCTTTAGTTTCCTATAGTCAGCTGGTCCCTTGCACACCGGTCCTGACTTCATGTAGAGTGACTCCTTTCTCAAGCAGAGTGCTATGCAGTCACCCTTGTGTGTGCTAGTAAGCTGTGTGTCTTCACAAAAACACAGCAAATCTCCTCCCTTCCCCAAACTAGTAGATGAACAGTTGCTGGAATCTGCACTGCCCTATGTGACCTTGTACTGGACAGGAAATTTAAGGAAGCTGAGCTGAGAGACTTGGAAGCAGCTGCTCAAAAACATAAGTGTTTGGGCAAAACTGTAATGCAATGCTTTGCTGGGCAATGTATAATTATTTGTTTGATCTGTATTCATTACTGAAAAATACATTTGAGAGTTTAATACTTTAAAGCTCTATGATGCAAAGAGGAAGCCATATCTGAACATGATATAGAAACACTGCCATGTTCTCTGGGCCAAAGCTCATATAAAATGGTCTGTTGTAAAGTGGAAAACTGTTCTGTGATCAGACGAATCAAAATTTGACATTCTTTTTGGCAACCACGGGCGTTGCGTCTTCCATACCAAAGAGGAGAGGGACCTTCCAGCTTATCAGTGCTAAGTTCAAAAGCCTGCATCTCTAATGGTATGGGAGTGTATTAGTATGTAGGGAATGGGCAGCTTGCACATCTGGAAAGGCACCATCAATGCTGAAAGATATATCCAGGTTTTAGAGCAGCATATGCTCCTAATCCAGACAATGTCTTTTTGTGGGAAGGCATTGCATACATCAGCAGGACAATGCTAAACCACATACTGCATCTATGACAACATCATGGCTTCATAGTAGAAGAGTCCGGGTGCTTAACAGACCTGCCTGCAGTCCAGACCTTCCAACAATCGGAAATATTTGGCGCATCTTGAAAAGAAAAATACGACAAAGAAGACCCAGGGCTGATGAGCAGTTAGAATCCTATATCAGGCAAGAATGGGACAACATTCCTCTCCCAAAACTCCAGCAACTGGTCTCGTCAGTTCCCAGAGGTTTACAGAGTGTTGTTAAAAGAGTGGATGCTACACCATGGTAACCATGGCCCTGTCCCAACTTTTTGGAAATGTGTTGCTGCCAATTTCAGAATTACCTAATTTTTGTTTTCTCAAAATGGTCCATTTTCTCAGTTCACACATTCAATCGAGTTTGAGATTTGCAAATCATTGCATTCTGTTTTCATGTAGATTTTACACAGCGTCCCAACTTCTTTGGAAATGGGGCTGTAGGGAGGGAGTGCACATACACATATTTTAACAAGAGTGCAGTAATACATACATGGGGGCATAAAGAAGTGAATGCGATCGTCAAACATTCACTGGTGGTAAATCAATCACTGTCATTTAAAAACACATGAACCAGAAAGATTTACTTGCAGTAAATCTCAGATTAACTGCTTTAGAAACATGCCCCTAAGTACAGACACTGCCCACAAAGCTATATAAATGCCCCCAATGTTTTAATCACATTGTAAGTGAATAAATAGATACAGCGAATAGAAATACAGGTTAAAACATGTCCCTTAATAATCCATAGCAGAAGTCCAATTAAAACTCCTCAAACTATTTTTGGGTTCACAAATAAAAGTTTTAGTATATTTTTTTTAAAGAAAACTCCGGTCAACAGTGTTCTTAACACTTGCAATGGGGCTACTCCAGCACTGCAAGGGTTAAGTGCTCATTTTTGCCAAAAATAAAAATATACTCACCTGACCCGCCAAGCCAACTGCCTGCTACTCCAGTCCCGAAGCCCGCCTGCTCCTCCACTGCAACATTTCAATGTTCCTCTGCATCCTCATGACTATACAATGTGTATAGAGAACCTGATGATTTACAGGACCTTATGACAGCTGCAGAGGAGGGGGAGAGCGGCTCCAGGGTCTGGTCTAAGAGCAAGCCAGCTCCTAGGATCAGGTGGATATAAACTTTTTTTTAGCACCTAGGCAAAAAAAACGAGCAGTTAACCCTTGCAGTGCAAGGGTAGCCCTACTACAAGAGTTAAGACAAATTCTGCCCGGAGTTCTGCTTTAAGTAAGTCACTAAAACCTTAGTGCCAATTGTTAATTTTCTAGTGAGAAAATAGAGAAGCGGTCCATAAAATGTCCCACCATTAGAAGTTGATATCATTTTCATTTTGCTTACAACTGGCAGGTTTCAAAGGGAAACTTGTTTTGTTTGAAAATCCATCAGGCAAAACAAAGCTGTGTAAAGTACTCTGAATGTGTTAAGCACATTCAGATCTGATAAACTCTTCAAATACAGAAATACATATTTGGGTTTCTTTAAGCTCACTGACACTTTAATAGCGGAATCTGAGAGACACATTTGTAGAGCCAGTTCTGTAGTGAAACTAAAGTCAGAAGGCATTAGCTACTAGGAAAGTCATAAGAATGTAAAATCTCTGATTTTGAGCCTCCAGCAGTCTCCCACAACCATTATATTCTTCAGCCAGATGACTAACATTTTATTGTACACGACTGCTAAAAAAGAAAAAACAGAAAAAAAAACAAAAAACCCCCAAAACACACCAAATTGCCAACTGGGTGAATTTTAAAGTGCAAACATACGTACAGTTTTCATAACCAATTGTCTAAACTGTTTGTAAGTCTATACGTACTGGAAATGCCTCAATGGCCCATTTGCAACAATGGAATAAGCACATGAAAAGTTGTCGTCGCCTTTACATATATAGGAATAACTTGCAAAACTACTTTAAGGCTACTTCTTGCCAATTCCTGCTTCACTGCATTTTCAAGTAAGATACCCTCAAAAACAAAAAAAACAATGCATCTTTACAGACTATAATAATTGTATAGTTGAAAAAGAAACTGATCATTCATTACTTGTGATGTATCAAAGTCATGTTCCTATTTATCGAAATTTTAGCTTGTGTGAGGTTTAATACGATTCTGGTATAACAAATTCAAATTCAGTGCTGCCTTCGGAAGTAGTTGGTTTGAACATGCTCTGGTTAGACTGCTGAAGAAATATATCGTCCCAGTTCACAGGTTTTGGCCCATTGCTAGAGTGGTTCTCTTCAGAATCCTGTTGTGGCTTATCTGGGTCAATGTTATACACAATTCCGCCATCGCTGATGACAGGTACATTAGTTTTATTATCACCTACGTACGCATACTGCCTTATTTGTAATGACTTACATGGATTCAAACGGTAAAGCTTTGAATCTCCAGCAGGGTCCAAACTGTGAGCAGATCTTATGTGTGAAGCCATGACCTGGTAGTTTATAAAAGAACCACCGCAAGTCAAGCACTGATATCTTCTCTCACCCGTGTGGTGTATTTCATGCTTTGTACGGTATTCTGCAAGTGGAAACACTCTCTCGCAGTAACGACAGGGGTATTTTTTTTCCCACGAGTGAACGTTAAAATGTCTTCGCAAACTAGTAAGACAAACGTACGATCTCTTGCACACAATGCAAATATAATAGACTCTCCCGTCCACTATAAGCTCATAGTGATCTTCATGTTTCAGTTTCATTTTTTTCCGGTTTGGAAAGCCATCTTCATCTAGACCGGATAAACCTTCTTCAGGGTCATCTTTGATAGGAATCACTATGTCATATGTATCTTCGCCAATATTTGCATAAACTTTGCAGCCTGTTGAAAGGCCCTCAATCTCAGAAGCTGTGTCTAAGGTTATTATTTTCTTACCATCCATTATTCGGCGAGGTTCAGAAGAATCCTTGCTACTCCCAGAAACAACATCCGCAATTTTAATTTTGAATTCTCCGGGCTTTGATGAAGATCCGGGGCTGACGGTAACCACTTGTTTCTTTTGCACGCCATCAAAGGATATATTTTTGTGAGTAATTGTGGGCTGGCCTACGGAGATGACGGAGGAAGAAGGAGGAGAGGAAATACAGTCAGAATCCAAGATCAGCTCCGATTTGGGATGAACTAAACCAATTGGTTGCAGTTTAGGTAAGTTTTGATTAGCTGTAACTGGCTTCTCAGGTGGTTTAGCCGCAGCTGAAGAAGCAGCTGTATCTGAAGGCGGCTGGACTGAAGCAATAGCTGTGTCAGAATTTTGCTGAGGCACAGGATTGCTATTTGCAGGCGGATTGGGAGTTGGCGCATTCGAATTTGCAGTAGCAGGAGCGACAGATGTTGTGACTTTTGGAACTGGAGTAGGTGGTTTTTCTGGAAGTTGCGCTGCAGGTTTGATATCTTGGCTAACCTGTTGCTGGCCAGATTCTGGAGTAAGTTTTTTTGCCTCAGGTACCTGTTCATTGCTAATAGTAATTGGGGGCGTCACAGGTTCCTTTTTCTCTGGAGCACCTTTCTTGGGGGGTGCAAAAGTCTCAGAGCAAAATATCACATCGTCATCAGAATCGTCATCATTTGACTCAACATCGGAATTGGTTGATAAAGTAAATGTTTCTGCCAGCATTGGCAATACAGAGACCCCGAGAGCTTTGGTCAATGCTGCACTAGTTGTATTTTTTATTGGCTCCTGTGTTTTGTCATCAGTCTTTGATTGATCTGCATTACCGTCTTTAACTCCACCAGATATACTTTTCACTTGTGAAAGAGGGATTCCAAGTTCTGCTATAAAGGGAACACCTAGTAATTTTCCAGACTTTATCAACTCTTCCAACATGTCGCTTTTCACACGTACAATTTTGGCGCTGTAAATATAGTTAAGGATTTCTGCAAATATTTCAGCTCTGATAAAATTCAACTCCACAACTTGACCAGCAACGGTGAAGAGTTGGTGGAAATAAGTACTGCATGCAGAAAGTATGTTCTTGTGAGCTCTAAATTTGCGATCCTCAACAATAACTGTAACATCGCAGTACAAGCCTTGCAGTCGCTGGTCATTCAAAGCCTGGAGCAGACAGCCAGAGTATTGGGTATCTGTGGCAGTTATCAATTTTTTCGACTCCATATCTGAAAGTAAATAAAAGATCATATGTTAGTTCAAGATGAGATATTCCCTACAACTGAGCTACACCTTATAGCTGAACGCTGTTGCCCATGCAGTGGCCCTTCGCTGGGACTGCAAAGGTTAAATGCTTGTTTTTGTCTAGGGGTAACAAAAAAAAAATTTTTTTTTTTGTACTTTGCATAAATTATTTGTCTTGAAGTCCACTGAGGAACACAGGAATGTATTCATTCTAAGCCATTTGGGTTAAACTGCTGCTTTCAGAAAGTTCTGGACACAAACAAAAAGCTGAAAGCCAGCCTACATATAACCCCACCTCCAACCACCATGCCTCAGTTTTGTGAGGAAATACAGTAAAGGCCAATTACATACAGGGGAGTGTCTCTCAATGGACTTAAAGATAAAGATTTTACAAAGTGCAAAAATCTTACTTCATCTTCTATTGAGGGACACAAATGGGAGTAATTGTTAGACATTATTTGGGAAGACCAAAAGTAGTCCAAATAAGGGGTGGGCCATAGCCACCGAGAGGTCCAACAGATGTGAAAATCCTTATAGAAGAGTATCTGAAGAAATCAACACCTGAACAAAGGCTAGATGAAGATAGGTCAAAGCAAATATGGAAACAGCAGTGACCAAGATAGGACACCGAAAATAAACCTGGGGTTTCTAAACCAGGATAGGTAATCAAAACTAGGGAGAAGTTGCTACCTGAAAGAATGATAGGCCTCAATAAACCACTGTAAAAAAAACAGTTGAAACAGCAAACTTATTGAACAGGATAAAAGAACTTAGACCAACAGCTAAGATGATCAACAAAAAGAATGTTACTTGGGTAAAGGCTGAAGTCAAGGATACCTAACCCTCGACTTCAAGGAAAGGAAAGTTGATCAAACAAGAAACGTCCAGCCAAAACAGCCAACCAGTTAACTTGAGAAACACAATCCACACATTTCAGTCATGCATCCTTCCCTGAGGACAGATCACTGTGAAGGTGCATTACAAATACTTGAATTCAGCTATGGTGTCTGTTACAAGAGAACATCTAAAAAGGTAAGAAATATATATTTTTAATAATTTTTACTGTATGCTGTGTGAATAAGAACACCATCATATAGTTGGCGTTTCTCAAGTTTAACTGCAAAAGTGGAAATATACTTTAAGCAGAACACCCTTAAAGTGATATTAAAGCCTAATTTTTATTTTTTAATTCTCCTTTAAGGAGACCCTCATTTGCTGGAGGATGTTGCCTTTTGTTCTTTAAAAAGTACTTTATTCCTTGTTTTCTAGTGGGTCCCTGCCATGCTCTTTCCCCCTGCCCCCTTCACGGGTGCCACCATTGTTCTAATGGAGGCACCCGTGCCCGCAGCGGCTGTGTGCGTCCATAGACACACACAGCCCTGTGGCAGGCCACGCCCCTTCCCACTTTGATTGATGGCAGAAGGAGCCTATGGCTCCTCTGCCTTCAGTATCCTCCACCGCAAAACCAGAAGTTCGGGGTACGAAGGATCGCTTCGTACCCCGAACAAATTGGCATATAAGGACATCAGCACGAGTTCTTCCAACTCACATCCAAAAGCTGTTTTAGGGGTGTGGTAGCTACACCACAATCTACCTGATCAACCATTGAATAAATGATTCTAGGAATCACTAGACTAAGTCATGCAAAGGGTAGGATCCCATGCTATGGAGCTAGGGGTAGTAATCCACTAGCAATAATCTCACGGAGAGGACACTAAACCACTTAGGGGAACTCTGCTGCTGGGTAATAAGAGTGCCATGCTTGCTAACCTTGCAGGGAAGTACAGGACCTATTAAGATGAATACTTACTTAGAGGGAAGAAAGGGGTGCAGTTGTGTGCAGGACCCTTGCTGTTAAAGTGGGTAAAATCAGATGAAGGGACTGGAAGCAACAATCATAGGAACTGCCATTAGCTACAATGGATGGGTATGGGTTGAGGTCACCCATTGCTGTGGGACTGTCCTGGGTTTGCCCTTTATAAAACATGCTGCACTGTGTAGCGGAAAAACAAGTAGGCCCAAAGTGAGGCAAGGACTCATGTATTCACAATCTGGAGCAGCTGATGCTGAAGAGAGCAGTAGATGGCTGGAGGTGACCAAGTCACTGAAGGTAGGTAGTGCAGAGGGTGGTAGTAGTAGAGATAGTGGGGGTTGATCCACAAAGTTCTTCAAAGCAGTAGCAGAAAGTGGCTTCTTTCAGGCTGACAGCCAGGAAAAAGAGTGCAGGGTGCACAAGCAACACTCCACATAGCAGATGACATCAGAGCTCAGTTCAATCATGCTTAATCACTACTGCTGTATGATGGTAGTGCAAAATGTTTTTAAAAAATAAAACCTAATGAAGCCAACTGTAAGGTAGCTCCCAGTGCTTCAGTCTAGCTGACCTTACTCAATATTTGGGCCACACCAGAAGCTGTGCCATGGCTCTGGACCTGAATAGAAACCTGCGGTTAACTAACACAGTACACAGAGGTCTGGAAAGCATCACTATGTAGAACCCCGTGCCAGAAGGTCACATTACAGGTTAGCGTTGTCAGAACCAGGAGTATACTGAGTCTTCAGAGACTTGGGGGTTGATTTACTAACCCTATAAACACACCACGAATGTGTATACACCTCTGCAGTGTGTTCCCTCCCAGCATGATCTATGGGTGGAATCTAAACACCTTTGTAATGTGTACACACCCAGCAGGTGTGTTGTGCAAAGCCCTGAAGGAATTCCAAGGTGATGTTGGGTAAATTAGCTCTATGTTGTGTTGATGAATGCAGGAATGTAAATGCATGAGCTAACCATGTTTGTCTAAGCAGCATTATATATGCATCATTATATATGCATCATGTGCATGATTTTTCCATATATGGCATTAGTGGAAATATGCTTTTAGAGACTTTTTGGTTGATAAATACGTTTTGCTGTGTGAAAATCACACGCACCTGGTGTGTGTGTGTGTGTGTGTGTGTTTAGGTTAGTAAATCACCCCCTTGGTCTCACCAGAGGCTGTGCCATGGCTCTGGACCTGGAGAGGGCTCTGCAGCTAACTAGCACAGTACACAGAAGTCTGGATAGCACCACAATGCAGAACCTAGTGTCCAAAGGTCACACTTCGAACCAACCCCACAATTGTTATGTACAGTGGTCTGGATATGGCCTCTGGATCAAGTATTGATTGAAGTATCTTGGGTAAAGACAAAATAATAAATGGCATGCAAAAACAAAATACAGGCAGTTTTCTCAACAGAGCTGAAGAAAAGATGTCCGACCTCCTAGGATACCAGTAAAAACTTGGCACAGCAGTTCGAGGAAATGTTATATGGGGGCTGGCTTGACACCTATTTGCCACTGTCCAAACCTCCTGAAGGCAGCAGTATAGCTCAAACGTCCAAGAAGTAGTACATTCACATGTCCCTCAATAGGCAATAAAGGGTTTTTACTTACTGGATGCAGGCCCTCTGATGTCATCACACGTAATGCAAGACCAGCAGTCCTGAATTCTATGTGAGGCTAATGGGGGGCCGTTAAGAAACGAGTGCCAAAGAAAAGAGATCTGGCTGCTGGTGGAGCAAGGGATAAGGCAAATAAAACTGTGGTATTTTGTTCCCCTTAGACCAAAACAAGAATTTAACTTTTTATTTTATTTGCATCCAGCTATTAGAAATGAGGAAGGAACAATCCAATCTTACTGAATAAATGCTCAAATAGAACACCCCGTTAAGTCTTTACCAATGTATCATTTACATGATGACACTTAATGTGACTTGTCATAAAACTAGACCTGCTGCTGTAAATAAAAAAAAGGCGCATACTTGCCTCTCCTGCGGCTCCATTAGTTTCAGAAGACACGTCAGCGGAGGATTTCTTTACAACGGAGTGACATTTGGAAGCGAGAGGTTAAGTATTTGCTTACAGGGGCACTGTTTAGTAGCAAGTTTAGTTTTATGACAAGGTTGCTACAAAGCAAAGGTATGCCGAAAATATATCTAACCTTTTTACAATCATAGCCAGGCAGTGAGAAGTAAGCTACATTTATCTTTGAAATGTAAGATTTTCCCAACTTGTCTTGCGTGAACAAATTACTATATGAATTGAGGCCAGTTAGTCTATTCTAGGCATAAGAAGCAAATGATAAAAGTCAGAGAATCTGTCATGTAAGATTATTGGGGTTGGTAGAGAACCTGCCCACACATCTAATCATTGCTGCATTAGGTCATGGAGTTTGGTAGCAGAATTTAGGGCATTATAGATTTAGGTGCATACAAATTATTCTTAAGAGAACTATGGGGTAACCTTTTTATCCCATAGTTCTCTTTAGGGTCATGGGAGAACATATACTAACGTTCTGCAGTGACCCAAAGCTCAGTATATCGCTATACACCGAGAGCGCTGCAGCCAGGACGGATCCAGACAATACTATCGAGATGCCCCCAGCTGGCTGATTGATAGCGGGATCTGCCGCCTATCTAGAGGCAGAGCCAACTGTGCCCCCCCCCATGTGTTCCTCCAGTCAGGGAGAATCCCTGCAGTGAAAAGATAAATAAGTGAGTGAGCTCACGTCCAATCTATAGAGCTGACGTGTGACAGTTTAATTGTCACACGTTGGCTCTAACTATGAAAATCACTTACCTCATAGTTCTCCTTTAAGGGTAGGTGCACCTTTCTGACCAGGTCTCATGTTACACCCATACAGTGAGGAAAATAATGATTTGATCCCCTGCAGATTTTTTATGTTTGTCCACTTACAAGGAAATGAAAGGTCTATAATTTATTATAGGTGCATTTTAAATGATAGAGACAGAATATCAACCAAAATCCAGAAAAAACACACGATACAAATGTTATAAATTGAGTTGCAGTTCTGTGAATAAAATAAGTATTTGATCCCCAAGCAAAACATGACTTAGTACTTGGCGGAGAAACCCTTGTTGGCAAGCACAGACGTAAGACGCTTCTTGTAGTTGGTTACCAGGTTTGCACACATCTCAGG